GAGCTGAAGAATGAGACGGACGGGGTAAAGGGGAGACGGAGGGAGTGGTGGAGGAAGAAGTGGTCGTCTATACAGATAGATAGAATAGAATAATACTGTGTTTTGTCTGGGGAAGGGTGGGCCGATTGTAGCCATGCTGTCATTCACAACCTATTATCTTTGGTGTCATCGCAAGGGGCGAAACTACAGGCCTGTATGTTCTACTCTGCAGAGACGGTCTGCCGACACGCAGGCTTGAAATAGAAAGAAGGACGGCTCTCATTGTAAATAAGTCTGACGCAAGGATTGCCGGAGGAAGAGCAGTCTTTCGGATGAAAGGGGGAAATAATTTTACAGAGACATACAGTACACGCCGCTGCTCTAACGCTCCTCCAGCCTTTACAGAACAACCCTTATCTTCACACGGATGACGACGGTTAACAAAAGGCTCCTTTATGAAATTGTTCATATTTCAGCCGGGGTCCATCTCCTGTCCGGAGAGGTGATTGATGCATCAGGCCAAAGCCAGTGTCTTATTTACACAGTTGAGTGGGGCAATCTCCGGCCTGAAAGATAAACCTAATGAGCTTCTTTGTGTAAGGGTGCAAATGAGAGACACCATCCTCCCTCCCTCCCTCCTTCCCCTTTCCATCCAAAGGGACAGTCTGGGTGATTAGGCCTTTAAATTATGCTCAAGGGCAAAGCACAGATTTGCATCTTGGGTGCGTGTGCGGTGTGTGTGTGCGTGTGCGTTTGAGTGCGTCTCAAAGATGTGACGGAGAGAGAGAGAGAGAGAGAGAGAGAGAGAGAGAGAGAGAGAGAGAGAGAGAGAGAGAGACTGAGAGGCAGGTGAAGGGCGCGAAGAGGAAGATACTTATGGTTTGTCTTTGGGAGGTGATGGGTGGACATTGTGTGTAAGTATCTTAAGCCTTTTCCTACACTGAACAACAAGCATGCGCACATCCACACACACACACACACACACACACACATACACACACCTTTGTTTTGTCCTTTGTCTGTGGGGTAACTTTCTCCCTAATGGCTTTCATTTTGGGGGGAATTTAATTTGCCCCTAAACCCTAAATATTACCCATCACTTGCTGTCACATTTCTCATCCCTTCTTTTTCCTCCAGCTAAACCGCTAGGAAGGCAGGTTAATTGCTGTCACTCTCAAGTTGGACCACTGCCTAGCTCTCGTGTAGCGGCAAGGGTGTAGCCTGGAAGTAAGATGGCACCTCTGCACACTTATTGTAATTTATGTCAAAATTCTGCAGTCGTTTAAATGGAGGTGGATAGTTTGCGATTCGCTGCATCACCTGCCTCAGGAAAACTCTGAAATAAATAGCTAACCGGGTTACCAACACGCCGCGCTCTCCTCACCTCTTGAAAGGCATTTTAGCCAAAGAGAACTACGTCTCAATACACATTCATGGCAAAGAGGGAAGAATACAAATATCAAATAGGTTTTGATTGTGTACGGTGGTAATTTTCTCACTATGTCTTAGTTCAATGAGTCTTTGATCTGGGTGAGTAGCAGGTCGTGGTGAAAGAAGGTGGTTCCAACATCTATCCGAAGGGTCTTTGGTTAAAACCCCTGACCGGGCCACCCGAGATAAGCTGGAGCCTCCATCTTGCTCTGAATAACAATACACTCGGTACAGTAGGGAGTTCATTTGGGGCGGAAGGGGGGGGCAGTGGTCCTGAGTATTGGCTCATCAATCCCACTGATAACCCTGGCAGGATTAAGTCTACAGACCGCTGTAATCAACTAACAGCCTCATTATGGGACATTAGGGTATAGATCCAAAATCAATGCACACCTCCCGTTTACATACATAGCAGCATATAATATTTAAAAAAAAAAAAAACCCTACAAGATACGATTGGCTGTGATAAATTGACTGGCAATGTGAGCTCAGCACATTTTTTTTTTTTTTTGCTCTTCATTTTTTATAGTGATCATTTTAGCATAGTAATTAGGGATGAGCAACATTCATCATTTGCTCTGATACATATCTGCAGCTGGCAAATTGCAATCAGATACAGTGGGTATCTAATCTGTGATCTCAAATCAAATTAGGTCTATTTAGACAACCTTGGGGATGGGGTGATGAAACCCTGGCAGAAATTAGGCACTGGAAATTCAATTGTGACGCAACGGTTATCACTCAGATACGTGGATAACAGTGAGTGTGAACAGAGTGTGTGGCTTTCGCGTTGAACACAACGACCCGTGTAAACAATATTAAAGATTGTGGACGGGATTTACAATCGAATAAACATTAGTGCTTTATTTGATTTGAGGATAAAAAAGGGTAAACCATCAACATTAGAAAATGGAAAAATTGCTCCTGTAACTTCCGTCCTGATCTGTGTCCTATAAGCCTTTGGCCCATTCCGAGGCGACGAGACCTTAAGATGCTGCTTTTTCTAATTATAGCTGCAGGTGGTATTTTGGAGCTGCTAGGTAATGGCAGAACCCACAGGGACAGTGGAGAATTCATCAGTGCTTATTATTAATCATCCCCCCCTAGCAGCGTGATGAGAGACCGGCGCTTCTATACCCACTGGACCACTCAATGTCATTCCAAATACGGATGGAAAATTACACCCAACAGCCTCCCTTCAAAAAAATGGAATTTTGTAAGCTGCACACAGGTGAACAAAAAAAAAAAGGGTGCGAGGATGGATGAACGCATGAATGTATGACCACACAAATGCGTGCTGCAAAACAGACACTGACACACACCTGCCATCTTCCAGAAGGCACGCTAACAACTGCCAGATAGCTGGGCTCTGTGCTAACAAAATGCAAAAAGAAGTGCATGTTTCGTCGGTCTGCCGTCTCTCTCTCTATCCAAAGAGATGTGGTGTGAGCGAGCCACAGGAAGTGTGTGTGAAGTTAACAGCACTGGGCCCCTGTTTTAAAAAGCCTCCAGAGACCTGTTAGCCGGCCTGCTCATTTCAATGTGTCTGTCTCTGGGTTGGGCTGGCCTCTTTACAAGGCTCACACTGTCACACAACTGCCCCCCCCCCCCCCCGAAACCCCCCACCCCCACCTCTAGGAGCTTTTAGCCGCATACGTCCCTCTCAGAAACTTAACAAGGGACTTTATGCTTACGGTGAATTTCTCTCTGTGGGTTTTTTAATAATTTGGTTCCTCAAAAAAGCGCAGCTTTGTTGAGTTAACTTTTACATGAACCCGTTTCACAAGCACTTTTTCTCTGCTTACGTCAATAACACTAATCTCACTAACGTTGGCTCACATTAAATCTCTCAATGTGTACATGCAGGCAAATCTCGTAAAATGATTTACACTTCTTTTTTTTTAGCATTTAAAATGCACAGAATGAATATTAAAATATGTAATTTTAACTACTTCCTTGTATGCGTTTTCTAGTGCACGTGCACGGATCAGCCTCTGGATGTTACCTTGTTATCTTGCTCACTATCTCTTTCCATTTTAGCCTCTCTATCAGCCCAGAGTATCAACCCAGATAGGGAGCAGTCCTCTACCCAACACCTTCAAATGTAAAAGAGTGATGACTGAAAGAGGGAGCGAATTGACCCCAATCAGGCGGGTGTATATAGGAAGAATGGCAGAGTGGTGATAAATGGGGGGGTTCGGAGGGGGCCACAGTGCTGTGATGTTGCTGTAGCCACCAGCGGGACCACTGGGGTTGGAGGGTGGGTGTTGAGTTGGAATTGGGGGTGGGGTGGGGAGGGTGGAAGAGGTGGCGGGTCGGGGGGTTGCCTGCGGGACATGCTTGGGTTTGCTACACCGAATACCCCCCCCACCACCCCCTCTCTGCACACATACAGATGCAGACACACAGAAACACGCCGTCGTCTATTGTGTGGCCCCGACCACACTGACCACAGGCTTTCAGCTGCCTCCAAATTTACACACACACGCACCAAAAGGACAGCGAGCATCATTACGACCCCGCGGCGTCCCCCATCCACCCCGAAGCATCGCCCTCTGACCCCGTCTCCCACTGCTCTTTTGGCAAACTGTCAAAGCCATCATTCACCGTGAAAAGACACTTGACTCCCTTACTCGGCTGGCGACTGACTTTCACAACTCCTGCCGGCCCCCCGGCCCCCCAAAACCACACCTCCTACACTGCTCCGCAGTTCATTCACCCTCTCTCTGACAGAGCCGATACAATAAAACATGGACATTAATGTTTTTTTAAACAGAATCAGTCATCTGTGCCGGCCGCCACGAGAAAATGATACGACGAATGTCCAATAGGAGAGAATAGCGTCAGCGCATAACAGAAGGAATACTAACGGCGAGGTTCAAAATATCAAAATGACTTTATAGTTGCGGGGACCCTCATGCAAAAAAGGTCTTTCAAAAGGGTCCTGGTCAAAGGTTTCTCTGCCGCCGGTGGGACTGTGGTTAGTTTCTCTACGTGTGTGTGAGCCTCCAACCAGTGCCGAGTTAGGAGGCCCTCTGGTGGATGCAGCGCTGCCATGACATACTAACACACACGCGCGCACACACACACGCTTCCCAAGCGGGTCCGTACGATGCTCCGACGCACACGTTCTTCCCCTTTCTCTGTCTATTTCCCACTTTTTCTCACTGACACACACACATTGTCTAACACAGCCTGATGTTGCTGCAACATAATCTCTATAAATAGAAGCAGAAATCCAGTGTACGCCTTCGCAAAAAACAAATATAAGTCACTGTAAAAAAAAAAATCCCTTTACAGGCAAACGCTTCAGGCAAAACAAGCTGACAGCACAACAAGCAACCGTGAAAATTTACCAACAACACAAACAGATGATAAAATAAACAATGTTTTTTTTCTTCCCTCTTGTACTAAAAAACAACCACAAAAAAACCCACCATAACATACTTCATTGTTGCCTGGTGTCTATGTTGAAAAACCCCAGCGCTGCTTGAGCAGAGAGAGCAGAGCGGGAGAGCGAGGGGAGAACAGAGTGAGAGAGAGAGGGAGAGAGCGGCAGAGAGGCGAGACGGGGGAGAAACACAACTTACCTGCTGTTGTTGCAGATGCAGCAGCTCGACTGTGCTTACTTCGCTGCTCGTGTCACCAGCGCTTGATCTCCCATCTCTACTGCCAGCCTCTAATTGGCTGCTGCTTAGGGTGCTCATTCCATTTTGACTCATTGAACTGTTGCTTATTGTCTCTGTGGCCGACTCCTGCATCATCATGATTTAAAACCTAGAAGTGATTAAGAGGCACCGGTTAGGGCTCTTCTACTCACAATTCCCCCCTTTTTTCCCTCCTTTTCTTTTTTTTTTTTACGCTTCCATTATCAAGCCCTCAGTCCCCCACTGCAAATTTAAGCATTTAAAGAAGAAGGAGGGGGGAAAGGAGAAGGGGTGGGGGGGGGGATGCAGGAGGAGCAATTATGCATTCATTGTGTAAATGAAGCAATACAAAGAGATGCACATCCTGGTGCTATTTAAAATGGGAGGGGTAGTGTGGCAAATTTTTTATCCATACAATTTGCATGTGGTTCTAAAAAAAAAAAGTTATATTCTTTTTATTTAAAACAAAATTACATTTGCGCGAAATTAAGGTAAAAATTTGCCTGTGCCATTATGTGATTAAAAAATGAGCATTTGCTCAGTTCTTAATGTCTCCCTCACACTTTAGGACAGCCAGGCTACACAGACAGGACAAACAGGAGCACGGGCACAAAATATCTGACGTCTTGAGGCTGTCTGACTTTCAGTGTGTCACGTCTGAATGAAGTGGCCTAATGACGCAAAGCTAATCATGCAAAATTAAAATTTGGCGGCGGGGAGGAGGAGGCACCAAATCACATGGCGGAGGGCTGATGATGAACACTATAATGGGTTTGTCATCTGTGCTGTGGTTAAATGAAATCACAGGCTTCCATAGAGGCAGGGTGCTCATACGCCATTCATCGGATCGATTTCTTTATTTGCTCTTCCTGAATGAAGCCTTATATATTCATTTATTTTTTTATATATAAAAAAATAAGACAATTGAACCAAGCTGCAGTCAATGTTTGTTGTGCGGGATTTAAAATGCAAGTCAACACATTTTTAAATAAATATAACTTATTGAATGCATTTTTTTTTGCATTTAATAGATATGTAAAACTGGTTAAAGAAGGATAAAAAAAACAGTGGGAAGGAAAGGAAAAAATCTATCACGAATATCACTAATGATTGTGCTAAAAACAGCATAAATTATGCATATTACCTTCCCTCTCTCCAGTAATAAATGTTTTATCATTTTCCCCTGCATTTAATGTTCGGCACCTTTAGTGGGGTATAAAGGAGCCCCAACATCAGTACACTATCTCCCAATAAAAAAGTGACCCCAAGACCCAACAAAATGCAACAACATGGATCTATCTTGAAAAAATATTCTTATTATTAGTGATTTTTGAGACAATTCAATTTTTTAAAGAAAATAAACTTTGACTACCTTCTGAGCGAAGTTTTGTGCCAATCCACCTCCGTGCAACAAAAGAGGGGCGAACGGTGGAGCTGACTGTGAGTGTGTGTGCGTGTGTGTGTGTGCGCATTTTTGCCCAGCCCACAAGGGTACCATGTGTATTCCTTGGCCGGTAAATACCGTTTTAATAGAAGTGTGTACACGTCTTTACCCGTGTGTGTGTGTGTGTGTGTGTGTGTTTGATGAGGGGCAGATACAGGACAGGCCTTAAAGGATGTCCACAGCCAGGATAAACAGGATCCAGGCAGCGAGAACAAACAGGACTGAGCTGTTACACAGAGCAGGGCGACAGCTGCCCGGGACACAAGTAAATAGGGAAGAGGCCAGGACGAGGCGTGCTTGTGAACAAACAGGCCGCTGTTTAACACCACAAGCGCTCACTACGGATGGAGAGACGTGCAGAAGAAACAGAAGACGGAGAGATGGAAAGAGAGAGAGAGAGAGAGAGAGGAGCAGAGAGGGTGTCAGAAGGGGGGGGGTGGGGGGGGTGGCGTGACGGAGAGAGACAGATGAAAAGAATGAGAGTGAAAGAGAGAGCAAAGGAGTGGGAGGGAGGGTGGGAGGGAGGAAGGTGGTGGTGGTGCAGGGGGAAGACTGGCACAATGTGACAACCAATCCGGTGATGAATCTCAGCATAAGAAACTCAAGGCTGCAGCCGAGATCAGCCGGCTAATAAGTATTCAAATTAGGCATAAATTTTACATGCACAATGTTTAAAATATTCAGAGAAAGACTGTCTGATTGCCTTTACTACAATTTTATGAACATTCTAATGGAGTTTGGATCTCTTTTTTTTTTTCTCGCGCTTTCTTTCCTAGAACGGCGATGGATGTGCAGAAAACGTGAAGATATATGAGATAAGGAATTAAGGATTTTTAATAACATCTGAATGCAATGCAAACCGCTATGGAAATCCAAGAAAAATTGGGAATTAAATGTGCTTTTAATGCACTTGCACGTGATGACTGACGTTTAGAACTTCATTCGGATAAAAATAAGAAATTAGACATCACGGCTTGAGTTAAAAAATAAAAAAAACAAAAGCCAATGACATCATTTGAATTTAATACACAAAGAATAAAAGACCCATTCTAATCTCATAATCCATAATCTGATACGTTCTCACCCTCCTCTGAAAAAAAATCGGCACAATGTGTCCAACACCAACGTAATGATAATGCAGATATATGCAAAGTATATTCGCAGAGATCAGATGGTGCTTTAACCTTAATGACAGCGGTGAGATAAATTAATTAGCCATCTAAAGGCGGCATTCAAATCTGCCAATTAGAATGTCAATTAGAAACACAGCCGAGCAGCAATGATGAGCCGGCGACCGAGCTGACGATGTGACTGTGGGGGTGATGGAACTGTCACACACAGTCACACACACACACACACACACACAATGCTGGAGAGAGAGACAGATAGTGACAATACTCGGCACCTGAGGGTGTGACTGCAGGCACGTGTGTGCCTACATTTGTGTGTGTGTGTGTGTGTGGGCCTACCACGGCTTCCGCCGCGGCCTGTGCCCCCTCCCTGAGGGATACCAGCCCTGACCTCAGCTCAGCCTGTCCCAGACCAACTGGGTCGGAAAGGAGCCACGGATGCCAATATTGTAGCTGGGGGTTCCGTGGCTCTGCTTGCTGCGTGAGCGCGGCTGCCGGCTTGCCCCCCCGCGCGCGTGCGTTTGACGTCCCGTAAATTGCCGGTGTCCTGCGTTTCAGCACACCCACTATTTGATGCCATTTCCTCAAGCCATAATCTTGCAATGAGGGAGAAGCCAGACCACTTATTATCGTGGTAGGAGAAAGACAGGAAGGCTGTTATTGGCGTGGTAATGTGCTGGGGAGAGGGGGGGGGGGGGTTCTGAGGATGTATGGCATTGGGGGAGAAGATTATAGTGATAGTAAGTGTTTAGGTTGTGGGGGCGGCGTGAGGTTTAGCGAGAAACAGAAGCGGTAACTTGTCGGAACTTCCCTTAATCTAACCGTCGTGAGCGAGTTTCCGAGGTGGAGGCTCATGAGAAGACATTCCTGATGAAGGAACGATAGACACAGCCAGGCACTTTTATTTGCAAAGCTCCAGACCAACATCAGCTTTTGTCTCATTCCGTGTGCAACCACGGCCTTGCTCGCTACTCCTCTTTCAGCTCAAGCAAATATTTACCCTCGAAATCTCGCACTTCACAAATCTGTCTCTTCCATCAGGTACGGAACCGGAAGAAACTGCCCATGTGGCTCGGGGATCGGGCTTTTTTTTTTTTTCTCCTCCTCTATCCTCCGAGGAGTGACACAGCAACGGTGTAAGGAGAATTGAGCCTTCCGTTTGCCTCAAACACATCTCTTTCTCTTTTTTTTTTCGCACATACACACCGATCGCACATCACACACGCACAACAAAGCTATTATTAAAGGGAAAAGAAGCAGCCCTCCATCTTTGTTTGCGAGCTCTAAAAGCCCTTAATGTGGCCTCATTACCTGGCCTGTCTGCCGCTCTATCATGTGCAGTAAACACACACTATGACACTGGCCATCCATCTCGTGGGAATACACAGCTGTCCGCTGTGCTCCAACACTGTCGGAGGAACATGAGGGAATTTATTTTTACCCGCACACCCGTTAGGTTGAGAACACACAGCGGGCTTTGACGCTGGTTTTCGTTAAGAGTCTCTGGCCTATCCGTTTACAGCGCGAGGATGTTCTCCGCTGCGTCTCTCTATCTAGAACACTGATCCATCCCCTCATTCCATATGCATGAGTTGCAAAATAATAGATTGCGAGGAAAAGGGGGAAAGAGTGACCTGTGAATCTGTGATCCCAGACGTCCGTTCATTATCAGTTTGCATTTCAGGTGGCCGGCTGGAATTCTTTTGGTTCATGAGATCAAAATAATAAAAAAAAAAATAATAATAATAGAAATTACATTTCACAGTCTGCTGACTCCTCACAGCTCTCTGATCAAGTTGAGATATGGTCACCGTTTTAAATAATCACAGATTCCGTGCTTGAGTGAAATTAATTCATCATTGCCATAAGTTACTATGCATATAAAATAAAGAGGTAACTGGGCAAGGGCAAGGGCTCACATATCCAATACTTCAGATTGCTTAATAAATCAAAATGCCACATATGTGCTGACTAAAAGAAAATGGTGCTTAAAAGCACTGAATTTCAAAATGATGAACGTAATATTTGAGTACATCTACAATGGAGAGAAAAGAAGTTTGAAATAACTTCATAAAGAACTGATGTCTGCCTTGAAGTAACCGTTGATTATGATCATATGTTTGTTTGTTCTTGGTTGTGTACTGTGATGTTTCTGGTTATCACGGCAAAGGGAGACCACATGCAGTTTATTACAGCCTTCAGTTTCAAACAGTTTATAGTCAGAGACGGGGAAAAAAAAACACCACTTGGAGAGCCACGTTCGACAAAAAAAAAAAAAAAAACAGTCCCACGGATTAAGTAAGGCGAGCCAGGCTGCCGTGGCTTAGAATTAAAAGCTTCCTTTTTGGCACTAAAAGGCCACCATAAAAGAGCATTAATGACTTCTTCTTATAAACCTGTGTATGGTAATGGTTTCTGCTCTCAGATAGAGGAATTTCAAAAGTGTTTCGCCGGTGAATGGAGATTGCTTCGGAGGAAAAGGGGGCTGAAGAAATCATATTTACAAAATCAGGAGTGGGGCCAAATGAAAAGAGATGAATATGAATAATGGACTTT